TGGCTATTTGCACCTGGGTCAATAACCTTGTGGTCACACTGGTTACAGTTCATTGACATTTAACGGAGGGTTTAAATTTGACTAATGTAATCTCACAACTTCAAGTCAGGCCTCTTGGAAAGCAATTATACATGAAGAGACCAGACAATTCTCTTACAAAAAAAAAAAAAAAAGTTATTCACAACAAACATATGAAGAGATTATTATAGCTTTATTTTATGCTATATCACAGTATAGAACTACTGTATTAGCTATGTGGCTTCTAACCCCAATTCCACAGCTATGAAATTTTTTCCCATTCCTCCTTTAAAAGATGAATATTTTTAAGCAAGGAAAACACTCAGCAATAGCGAATTCTCATTGGAGATGGTCTCTCGGTGGACTTTGAAGGGACTTTGGTGAGGACAATGCTGCTGTCCCAGTCAATGACATCTACAGGGTTTAGAGGGAAATAATAAACACAGTTTAGTTCTCCTCTGAAATCAGTTCTCATTACAGAGATCTTTGTCTGATATGATGAGATGGAAAGGTAACACCTCAATCTTAGTGATTGTTGGCTTCCCATCAGGTCTGTGCCCTCAGACTTTCCATGACAAACCCTCCTGCAAAAAAGTGCCTCAGGATCAAACATAGCTCACCCAAACTCTGTTTTTCTAGTTTAGAATCAGTCCCACTAAGTGCTGTTGCACTTAGCAACAGCATTATCAAACCTGCTGTCATCTCCCATTTTCATAACAAAAAATATAGACAAGAAGTCTACATCTTTGCCAATGCATACAGCATAACTTGGTAAATAACGCTACCTGAGATAACATCACAGAGCTAATTATTTCATCCACCACGTATTAGAATCATGAGAAAAAATAATTCCATGCAGTGCAGGGTATACAAGAGGATAGGACTGAAGGAAAATGATACAGCAGAGAAGACATCCACTTTATGTCATTATCCCCCAGCAATTTCTCCAGGACCATTATGTCCAAAGGTCATAAAGTTGCACTAATATTCCTTTCCAAAGCACTCAAGCAAAATCACACTTAAACACAGTGAAGTCCAGCATCTCCAGATAAGTCTTGGTTTTACAGAGCTAGAGTACAGTTTAAGCTATACACAATTACTTCAGTCTTTCCACTTAAAGACTTTGCTAGTGAAGTGGATTAAGACAGTGATGGATTGGAGCTAACACCATAGACTACCTTAATTCTTGCAAAGGGCTCCACTAAATTTCCACTTTTCCCAACTTATTAACATAGAAAGTCCTAAAGATTAATAAATTCTAACCTGACTTTATGATATGGGCCAGAAAAAATGAACACATGCTGAAAAACCATCCACCTGTGCATGGCAAGGTAAAGAACACACAGCATTCAGTTTTGTTAACACAGAGTCACCTTCCTGTTTTACCACTGCAAGTGGAAAAACTGCCATCCCCTCCATCTTTCTTGCATTTTGCCACCTTCTGATGTTCTGGGAAGAGAAAACTCTTTCTATTGCTAAATTCAGTCCTAGAGATGCTTCACTGAAAGATGAAAGCCATAGAAGAAACAGAGGACAGATGTTCCCATTCTTCTGATAGGGAACACATGCAGGATCTCCAAACCAAAGTAGGCAGTGGATATTTACGTCATGAAACATAAGCAGTACTGTCAGGATAAGTCCCCTCAGTCTTGCTCTGAGTTGAAGGGAAACGCTCTGATTACAGTTCACATATTCTTACACTTATTTACGCAGGAAGAAAAAGATTACAATTCATTGAGCCAACTGCGGTAAAATAATTGCTGCTTCTTTGAGTACATGGTTATGCCAGTATACTATCAGAGTTATGGTCTCTTCAGGATATTTTCCAGCAATGCACAGGAATAAGTGAATAAAAATGACTCTTAGTTATTCCTGAGCAGATAATTTCTGTGTAAGAAATTAAAGTCAAGCTCTTTTGGCAGAGGATTCCTCAACTTCAAGCTGTAGTCTACAACATACTGATTTTAATCACTGTACTGAACAGAGCTAGCAATCGAATAAAAAACACTTCCAAAGCTTCATAAAGATAGAAATTTAGCAGGCGACTACACTTTTCTACCAGGTAAATAGATTCAATCTGCCACTGCAGGCTGAGGTGTCAAATGATCAGTTTGTTTCAGTGTTTTGTGATGAGGTTCATATGCAAATAAAGCAGTCTGGACTAGTCTGCTGGACAGAAAGCATGGAGCAAATAGCTTTTTATGCTTCATCACTTTTTTTGGTAGGCATTCACAATCAAATTAATTTTTCTAGCTAGCATACAGTAGTCCCAGGGCCAAGGAGACAAACATCAGATGACTTTCTCTTGAGTATAATATTCCCATCTGAACTGTGCCACATACACTGATAGCACTTCAGATGGTGAAAAGCACAAAGCAGATCTCAACCTCATAGTACACTTCTGCTTCTGCACTGTGCTTTATCTTCCCTTCCTCTGATCCTTTAAAAACAAAGCAAACCAATTTGTTGTCATCTTTATTTCTCCAGGTGTTTGAAGGTATTTCTTATTGTTTTGCTCCACTTTTTTTATAACCTAAATAATATTAAGTTGAAGTGAACTCTCAATCTTTCTTCTGGTACCCTGAATGAAGGGACATTTTAGTTAAAATACACAGTTTTGATACAGTTTGCAGATTGAAACACTAGTCAGAAGACTTCAACACCTGTTACTAGAGCATCCATTGTTACATACTGTTTATAAAATTCATCTGAAAAAAATAAATGTCAGTAATAAAGACATTTAGAAGACACAGACAACAAAATCAGACCAAAAGAGAACAGCCTTCTCTCAGACTCTGATCAGGGCAAAGCCTAGAGGATTTAGGAAGCTGTAGGAACAATCAGCATAAGCACAAAGCCGGTCAGGTTGGCAGGTACCCACATTCCGTGTCTTCATTCTTTTCTTGGCACACAGCATTTATACAAACACAACACAGCATTCACTTTGTACAAAGCAGAATGAATTTTACATGGAGTTTGCTGATTTGAGATTCATGCTATTAAAAAGGGAATTATGTAAATCTTTTGAAAAACTTACTACCTTTTCCAAAGAAGATTTTTAACAAGTATTCTACACACAAACCTGCTTTCTGCACCAAAGACAAAAGTAAGACTTCCTCTTTCAATGGGTTTTATCATTTTTGCTGCAAACAAAAAGCTCTTTGTTGGTAAGAAATCACTTTCCTGTTTTGTAAATAGATTACATTTCTTCATAATGAAACAGCAAATTGTTGACACTTTTCTTACAGTGAAACAAGGAAAGTACCTCTGGGTACAATGGGCTTGTTTATGTGAGTGATTTTCCCTTGCTATGGAAAGTATAAAGTCCAAACTGGTGATTGTCTGGTAGATGCTTTCAGGTGGGAAGCTACCACACAGAATGAAAGAAACATTTCTTCTTCCATGGTCTAAGTCTGTTTAGCCTCACTCAGTCATAGTGTGCTTATTTCTCAGTCACAAAAACACAGTATGGTGGAACTGCAAAACAACGCCCAGAGCTGTTCCAGCAAGTAGGCTAGGAGGCAGGCAGCAAGGGAATTACTCTAGCTACTTACTCTATTTCTATAGTTACTCTCATCATCTGCACTTGAAATATACTTGAAGCAGGACACGCATTTGCTCATCCCTTGACCTAATCAAAATTTGGCAGCTGGTGTTTTTGCCATTTCAAACTTTTGTGCAAATAAAAATGGCAAAGGCAGGTTCAACCCTTCAAGAAGCAAAACAACAAAACCTGTAAATTTTATCAATTCAATGCGCTGAAAATAAAACAAAAACCTTTCACAAAGTTGTTGGTTACCTCAGCTGTTCTTGTCACAGGATGGCATCTCCTGTGGGCTTGCTTGTCCTCAGCACCTCAGCTCTCCCAGATGCTTCTGGAATGTTCTGGGGGCTTCTGACCCAGTGCCTCCAGGACGCTAAAGGAAAATATAATTTCTCTTGATTAGCCTTTTGGTTTTGTGCTCCTTTTGTTTGTGGCTCCTGAAACAAACACAGATTTTTTGCTTACTTCTGCAGATCTTAGATCTGCCGCCCGAGGGCCGGCGCTGCACCTCTCAGTCTCACCTGCAAGCTGGAGTTGGAAACACAGGCTGTACACAGCACTCTTAAGACGTCGTCATTATAGCACTTTGTTAATCTGATAAAAAGTCTTATCAGCCCACCGATGAACCATGAGACCAGAAGTTAGCCTCACACTGCACTGCCAATTGTCCCATGTTAGCAGACGTGCCTGATCCTGTGGGGGGAAAAAAAAAAACGCCTGGCCGAGCTTTGTCTTCCAGCAGCCTAGCTGGACTAGCCGTTTTATTTACTGACCAGACCACAGGTCCAAACTGTGCTTTCCTTACGTTAACCTGCTCTCCCTTTAGTTAACACCTGTGCCACAGCTGAAGCAGCACGTGAGGAAACGCAGCCCTGCCTCCCGCCCTCGGGCTGCCCCCGCGCCGGCCCCAGCTTCCCGCCTCTGGGCTCCGCTGGGGCGCGTGGGCACGCGGCGGGGCTGAGGCCGTGCAGGCAGGGCTGGCAGGAGCTGCAGACGTAAAGAGGAAAGAAAGGGACGAAAACTAGTCGCTCTGCTGGGTCTTGTCCTAACAAAGCGACAGTGAAACACCACACAGGAAGAGCAGCTGCCAAATTACCTCACCGCGCTTTCTGCTAGACTGATGCTGCAAAGGAAGTTAAGCAACGAAACCCAGCAACTGTTGCACTTGCAACACCGCGGGTCACTTCCAGCCGCACACGGAGCTGCGGGGCACCAGCATACCTGCAGGTGTGAGCAAGCACCACGAGCAGCCACAGTGCTTGCAAGTGAAAATAATGTGCTACCGTGTTCAACTTCAGTGCTTCTGCAACAGTGAATGATAAATTAAAATTATTTTTAGAATAAAAATATTTAAAAGTGTGCTTTAAAATATTTTTAGAAGAAACATATAAAATAAAAATCTTGTGCGTCAGAGCAGAAAACAGCTCTATCTGCAGAAAATAACGTCAGTGTCCCTGTTCCTATTAGAGTGCTTAAAAACATGACAGACGTTTGCAATTTCCTTTAAATTTTTTTTTTGCCAGAGGAGAATTTGGCCATTGTAAATGCAAACTTCATTGCACCTTGCCCTGCAGAGATGGACTGTTTGTAGGTAAGCTTTGTAAAGATCTGCAGACTCTTACATCAATTTCAAATCATTTTTTAGCAGATTGCATTAGGTATCTCCTGCTTCCTGAGCATAAGCGTTTATGAAGACATGTAAGTGACTTGCTTCCTCTAAGTGGAATTTCATCCATCACCAGCTGCTACTTACAGCTTTACTATTAAGTCCGTTAGAGCACAACCACAGGCAGGGAGCTCTTCCCAAACATGCTTTGCAGTGCTGGTGCTCCTGGAGCAAACACAGATGCACTGCTGCATCTTCCTTCCTGTGCTGAGAAACCACATACACACACACACTCCCTCAGCATTCTGGTAGAAATTTACTCCTCAAGAGGCAAAGTGGCAGGACTTGCTGCCCTGCTTCTTGAGAGTCTGGCATTGACAACAGAGGATTTTAGTAAAAGAAAGTAAATCATTTTTCCAGCCAAACCTTACTGAAGTATCCATCGTAAAGGATGGTTCTGGGTCCTGCTGATCTTGATTTACCTTTTGTTATCATCTGTCCCAGTCTTTCTGTGAACTGACACTAAATGCAAACATTTCTGTAGGTTTCCATGCAAATGTTTCATTTTTGCTACTCTTCTCTAGATGGTGTTTCTCCCACATATGTGTGATGGGAGCTGACTGACCTGGTAGCACCTAATAATACACATTATGCTGTGTAACTCTTACAACATATCTTAAGTTCTCATTTTTGCTCAAAGATTTTTAGCTGTATTTCTAGCACAAGATGCAACTTCTCTGTGTTGTGCCCACATCTCTAAACAGTTATCCAACTCGAGGAAAAGATAAAACAACAACCAATTATACCTTTAAAACTATCAGCTTTTCTTTTGCATTTCAGAAGAGTGAGTCCAGAAGACTTCAGTAAAAATGTTTTTCTATATACTACTCTTTCTCAGCATCAGCTCTCTGTGGTGGTACTGGAAGGCAAGAGATGGGGGAAAGGTTGCAAACCTCACTGGCAAATATATATTCATCACTGGATGTGACACAGGATTTGGAAATATGGCAGCAAAGACTTTTGATAAAAAGGGATTCCGTGTTCTAGCCAGCTGCCTGACTGAAACAGGAGCCAAGGAGCTACAAGCTGCAACTTCCAATCAGCTTCAGACAGTGCTGCTGGATGTGAGAGATTCAAACAGCATTAAGAAAGCAGCAGCGTGGATCAAAGCTGAAGTCCAGTCAGAAGGTAAGGCCAGGCCATTCACCTTTAAAAAAAATTTTTAGATAAAATAATTGAATTTTCCCCAAAATAGTGTGATATACTCACTGTTCACTCCAATTACAGCTAACTTTGAGCCTTAAATCTGATCTATTATGACATGCCACAGTACTTAATCCTAAATTCCAACTTCCACGTGACCTTTCCTCTCTTTGTAAAATAACTTATAACTTGTTTGAATTGAGTTTTCTCAAAACTGTACCAAGTTTTCAGCCGAAAGAATTTTTTTCCGCCCACAAAAAACAATTAGTCAGAATGGATTCATTGTCATTTTGGTCCATCACTGCTCCTGTAAAGTCACACACAGTTCAATTAATCTACCTCATTAGGTGAAAAATTGCTTCCTAACGTTCTTCTTTTTTTTCCTTGCAGGTCTCTGGGGACTTGTTAATAATGCTGGAATTATGGGGCCAACTGCTCCTACAGACTGGTTGGATATTGAGCATTTTAGAGAGCCAATTGAAGTTAATTTAATTGGGCTCATAAATGTGACAATAAATATGCTTCCCTTGATAAAACAAGCAAAGGGAAGGATAGTAAACATATCCAGTACTGGAGGTCGCCTAGCATTCTGTGGTGGAGGCTACTGCCCTTCAAAGTTTGGGGTAGAAGGATTTAATGACAGCTTAAGGTATAACACTCATCAACAAGAAAAAGACCAGTCTTTATTTTCTAAGGCTAACAGATGACTGAAAACCTGCACATGCAGAATAGAAGCTGATTTACATGTCTGACACTTGATATAAAACTTTAAAACATTATACAGTTTGGGATAAGTCTTCTTGAAAGTACCTTTTTTTCAGCATAGATTATGTCACTTTTGAAATCTAAGATACAAATCCTGTTAGGCATATAAGGAGTCCTAAAGTAATATTGTGATGTAGTTGGTATTTTTGTATATTTATACATAACTTCTTGTAATTTAGTTACTCACAGGGGCCTTATTGGAGAGGAGATTCCACTCAAGGGAATTGAGATGTCTCTGCAGGATAAACCTGATCTCCTATAAATGTATCTCCTATTTCTAAGTGTTTATAAGACATACACACTGCTGACAACTATGAGATGTGGCCATTAGAATCTGTACCAGTTTGGAGAATCAGATGGAGGTCAAGAGGGGTTCATTAAGACATATAAACTGGCTCTGGATACTTACATTTAGGCAGCCAGATGGTCTTACAGGCAAGTCTGACAAATTACAAGCTACTGGAAGGGGAACTGGGATATGAAATACAATATGCCAGTTACTGTCCATACATGTTCACACTCAGTGAAGCAGGTAAGATAGTTCATCCCTCTCTCATTTAAGGATAACAGGCTGAAAGTTCACACCTGTGCTTTCTACACAGTATTTACATGTTGATATGCAATGTAAAGACAGAAATAACAGTACAGAAAAAAATCCCAACATATCAATAAGAATTTCTAATGCAATTAAATTGCTGGACTGTCTTTGCAGGAGAGATATGAAAGCTTTTGGAGTTAAAGTTTCCTGCATTCAACCTGGGCTGTTCAAAACACCATTAACGGATCTAGCAAAGATTCGGAAAGAGAAGGAGATTATTTGGAATCGGCTTTCCCCCCACACTAAAAAGCAATATGGAGAGGAGTATTTTCAGAAAGGTGAAGTAATTTCCAGGCATTTTACTAAAAGAAGCAATGTATTTCTTGCTGAGAAAGCCTTCAAAGTAGAAGCTTTATATCTTGTAATCACCATGACTTTTTGAAAAGACTGCATGTTCACAGTTACTCTTCAAATGCATCGACATCACAATATGGCTATTCACACAAAAACTTGTGCAGTGCAACTTTATTCAGATCTCAGTTAAAGATTAATTATTTGTGTTGGCATGTAGCTTTTGAGCAAACTCCAAGGCAGAAAAACATTCATCTAATGATGTAACTAATGTGCTTGCAGTGTTTTTCCGTCACTATTATTTATTTAGTAATCAAATAGGGGTAACTATTCCCTTTGCTTCTACTATCCCCAGCAGTAGTGATGTCATGCAAAAATTGTCTAACAGTTCCTGAGGCCTGCTGACAACTTTTTGAACAGGAGCTGCTTGTCTTTTGATCGTTGGGCTTTTTGTTCCTCAAGTTTCTTTCTTACAGATGTATTTCACAGCTTTCAGCAAAGCAATTACCTTACTACAAGAGACTCAGGACCCCAACATTTCTATTTCCATTTGCCTCTTAGACAGTTAGGTTTATTCTGAGATACTATAATTGCTAGTTACTTGGGGAATACATACGCAATTTATCCATTGCTTTTTCACAGTGAAGAGTAACTAGGCTGCGCTTGTGGTACACTGTATCACAGGTCATTAGGGACAGGGTAGTTGATCTTCAGAAATTACTATGAATTTCTTCTAAATCAAGAAACAAGAAATACCAACTCCTTAGTGAAATTTCACAAATCAGTGTGGGATAGAGAGTTAAAAGTCACTTTTCCTGGCTGTCACTGAATGATCTTTTGTTTGAGTTTTACAGATGCAGCAAAGAAAGAAAAGCTCTCCAAGGCCTGCCTCAACACTGACATTTCACTGGTTGTTGACTGCATGGAGCATGCCCTAACAAGCCTCCATCCACGTGCCCATTATATAGTTGGCCAGGATGCTAAGTGGTTTTGGACTCCTCTTTCAAGAATGCCAGCAGATGTACAAGACTTCTTACTTCTGAGAAACAGAGAAAAGCCTGCAGTTTCTCATAGAAAGTAAATCTTTATCAATATATTCCCTGTTGCATACAGGGCTGATTCCACATGACCTGTCCTTTATTTTAACGTCGTACAAACCAAACCTGAAATGCATCCTCATGTCCTATAAATGTAAGAAATACAGCTACTTCTCCAAAATTTGCTACTATTAAAACAAAACAAATAAATAAAAACCACCCTTACTTCTTTCATTATTTTTTTTTGGTTTTGTTTTTGAAGTAAAGCATGCTAAATCCTTAGGATCTCTGATGTCCAGGTCTTCCCTGTGTTGCAAAAGGATCCATAGCTACAAAAGTACAGCATAGATATGACTGCAGAGATCCAATTCCTGCAGTTTAGGTAATTAAGAGTTACGTGTTTTGTTGAGTTGTTTTTTTGTTTGTTTTTAATTCAGACTTCAACCTCAAGTCTGCAGCTGCACATTGCTCAGAAGTTGTTTCTTACTGCCATGCAAACTGGCCAGTGACAAAAACAAACATTTTCCCCATGCTGATGAATTTGCATTAACACGGCCAAGCTAAAGAGCAAGCTACCCAGTGGCTATCCAAATATTGCTGGTTTTCAATTTAGATTCTTTAAAGCCTGTAAAATACTTTTTCTGTTTTTCTCAGTGCAGCTTATACTTAGGCTTCAGTGTGCTCATTTCATTTATAACTGTTATCTGAAAAAGTCATTCTTTCCAGAGCAGACTTGAGGTAAATAGCTCTGAACTAACTATTCCTACTGAGGCAAATAAATAAATAAGATGTTTTTTCTATCAAGAAAAGTAATAGAAAATCAACGTAAGTCAGAGCTGCCATAGCTGTCTGGGATGTTACTGGCTCACCTGACCCAATCCACACGAGCCATTAGTTTTCCAGGTAGAGCTCAGTGTGTCCCTATGACTGAAATTTGTGGCTCCTGCAGAAGCTGCAGCATCAGGCCCTCATGATGTGAACTTAGCAAAGAACTTGGTGTCATTCTCACAGTCTCTCTCTCTCTCCAGAAGTTAAAGTATATTTTTCCATCAAGGTTACACAACTGAAATTGAATAGGAAAATAAAGTATAAAATGGCAGTGGCTGCTCTGATCTGTATCAGGTTTAGATACTGAAGTTTGGCTGACTTACGTCAGCCCTTGTCAGACTACAGGTCTACTGTCAGCTGCTGCAAGACTACAGCACTGCAGTGATTAACATTTAAAGTAAAGTTCAAAAAGAATTTGGGGCAAGGCACACCAGCTGTTATTATTTACATTAGGAATGCAGAAAAAAATATCAATTGCTCAATGTACTACCAAGATACCTTCCATTGTACAAACGGCCACATTCTGGTGGCATGTCCTCTTCTGCAACCAGACACCTCATGTACTTGTATGCATGAAGAGTGGGGGAAAGGAGCTCTACTTACACATTCAGACAAAGAGCAGAGGGATCAGAAGTGCCCGGCAGACTGCTGGGCCAGTCATATGTTAGCACTCTTAGTAGTCATATGTTAGAGGCTTTCTTCATGAAAACTGTAGAGCAGAGCTTCTAGAATTTGAACTTTTATTTGAAACACAGATAATTGATTTGTTTCACGTACCATAAAGCTGCCCTTGGACAAGAACAAATAATTTTGTTCCTGAGAGTTGTTAAACACAAGGTTGTATTTTCCTCAGCCTTTGTCCCAAAAAGACCAAGTCCTATCGATAACAGCTCATTCATGTGCAGGAGTAAAGAGAGAGGTCTGAAATTAGCCCAGTTAAATCAATGGAAAGATTCCTGCTTGTTTCAACACAATGCACAGTAGGTTAGTACTCCCTAATGAGTCTTAGCAGTCCCCTAGGCTCTACAGATTACTATATATAGTCAGGAAAGCTTATGCAGCAAAGGTAGGATAGGCTGAGATGGAGCTTAGGTGGAGGATTAATAACAACTAATTCCCTAAGATAGAAGCACCACAGCACAAGTCACTATCAATATTGAGGAGAAGGACTGTGCTCAACAGCAATAAAACCATCACGCTGAATTTACAGGTGTTTGTGAAAACTATATCATCGTGCAAGCGTTGGTGCACAAGCTGATGAGTTTGTCTCAAGCAGTTTCTACGTTCTGACAGCAAAGTAACTGGAGAAGGCCACTCATGAGCACCTGGAGGTATATGGTGAGCTTGCAGATGTCTCCCCAGAACGTGAGTACCAGCACACGAGCAGAAATCGTGTCTAACATTACAGTGTACAGGATTCATTATATGCATTTGCAGAGTGTTTAAGAGGACAAATTAAGCACTTGGTTTTGAGTGCACAGATGAGAGAACATGCAGTCTCTTCCTTTCCAGTAAGGATTTTAACCAGTTGTTGCTTATCTAAACACCTGCAGGGTCTGAATAAAATGCTAACTCAGTAATGTTCTTTAGAACATCTGGAATCTTTCTCAGCTCCTTTATTACTAATTACTGGTTTGGTCACCTAAGGGTTTGGAAGGCTTTATTTGCCCTGGCATGGTAAAAAATCTAAACTGCCAGCACTACAAGCAAAGATACACTAATGATGAGAAATCAGCCCTCATTTAACCAGACTGACTTCACGTCCCTGCAAAACACTCAAGAGAGTTTGGATTTGTATTTCTTTTAAGCTGAAAGATTAAGGAAGATCCTTAAGTTATCTGCTGACCTCTGAGCTATCACTGTCCTCTACACAGCTGATAGGAAAGCAGCCCTTTTCCCATGAAACAGAAGTACAAAACCCTGCACACGCAGGAATAGCTCATGTAGGAGTGGGAGGTGTGATGCGTTTGTGCCTGAGTACATGCTCAGTTTGTTAACTGAAAACCAGGCAGTTCGTAGCACTGATTATTAAAAGTTTGTACTGAACTGGAGAGCTGTCAGGCAGCCTGCCAGGGCAGAGCCTGACAGCTGAACCTTCCCCATGTGTTCCATGAGGGCTGCTCCTGAAGAACAGAGGCCCTGCATTTCCTTTGCCAGCTCTTCCTCTGTGCATGGTGGGCCAGGCCACCTCACTGCAGAGCACTGACTTCTGCAGGGTTTGCACTGTGAGCACAGTGCCAGAGGAAGGAATCCAAAGTACAACCAGACCCCAAACCTCCTCCAGCCTGAGGTTCTCTGGCACAACTGCCAGCATCGCCTCCCTGAAGCAGGGTTCTTCAGCTTCCCCTCTGCAGAGAAGCAGAGGGATGCTGCCGTTTGCAGTCATCTGAGGACTTAAAGGGCTCTCACAGTGCAGTCGCATTGCTTTTCTTTAAAACCAATTGCTTTTATAATGGCACTTGTGTGTGCACAAAAAGCCAAGCTCTATTCCAAGAGTTCTCAATTTGCCAGGCAAATATCAGCATTTTAATGGAAGGTAAAACTTGCCTTTAGCTATCTACTGGCTACACTGGTAATAAAAATTCAATATTTCTGGAATTATATCAAAACTCTTGAAATATCATGCTGACATTTTCCCTAGAAGCACACTCTTTGCCACTGCAAGAGCTACTTCAAAATTGATGTGCTGCTGGCAGAGAAGCAGCTTTTTAGTGCTCCGCAATTATCAGACAAAAACTATTTCTTGCAACATTGCACATTCACAGAAACAGACAATTTTCTCTGAAGAAAATCTTAACTGAAATTATTTCCTCTGAATCTGACTCCAGACTCCTTTTAGCAGATGTGACATCATCTAGCAGAATAAATTCCAGCAAAATATTCCTGCAGAGAGGAGCCCACTGTGGTGCCCAGCAGCAGATGTCCACATGCTTTTGGACACTTGAGAGCCTGTGGGGAGCCACCTGGTGCAGATGTGCACACAGCCCAGCACCTATGGGGAGGATGAGCCATGAGGTTCCACATAGAGCTGTCTCAGTCTTACAGCTCTTCTCTTCCAGCTCCTGCTAGCAAAACTTAGGGACTGATGCTAACCAGAACAGTTCCACACATTTCTCTCCAAGGAGTCAACGTGTAGCCAAGTGCACAGCCTAGCCAGATGTCTCCACAGAGACCCTGTTGCAAACTATACCTGCTTTCCTCTCTTTGCCCACCATTTCCCATTTGCAGCACAGCCAAGGAAGATGCAATTTACTTTTCTTGTTTCCAATTAAAAGAATATTTCCCCTAAATTTTTAATTAGCTCATTTTATTTAGTATTGGGAAAAAAGATTAATTAAGTCCTAAAATGATGCATCACAGAACTAGATTGCTGGGTAGCTGTTTGATTTATTGACTTGGGGTTACAAAAGTCTGCTGGTAGCAGCTTCTTTCTGTTTCTAGCCCAGCTCCCATTCTAATCCAGCAGTCATTGCCTGGCACATCACTGCAAATGGATTAGGTGCATCAGTGATCAGATGCTGCTGTATCTTGTTTCCAGACTTCATTTTACAGCACTGATCCTGAATTAACCTGAGCTCTTTCTTTTAATTATGCTTGTCAGAGCATGTTCTAAGTCCTCTCACAAAATAAATGTCTCCAGCTCAGTGAAACATTACAAAGGTGATTCCAAAGTGCACACATTCAAGAGCGATGCAGTCCTTGTCAGATTCTAGAGAGACATCCACAGCAAAAAAGAAAAAAAAAGAAACACACACCAAAAAATCAAAAACAAGATAAAACCACACAAGTATCCTGGAGAAGTACCTGAATTAGAGGGCCAATTCCACTGGAGTTGACACTACAGGGAGATGGGCTGCTAAAATAAGTGGGAGAGCCCAGAGACCAATTTAACACCCAAACACTTCAGTGGGAGCCTTCCTGCTCACTGCAGTGGAAGAAGGAGCAAACTCTTATCTGTATATATTTGCTTAACATTTTCATATCAGAGAGAGTTCACAGGTCCATATCCATGGCTACAGAAGCATCCAACTATTTAAGGTAATATCATTAAGTGGAATGTTGTTACTCATCATACATCAGCAATGTGACTGATGTCATTATTCATTAAGTCCAATATTCACTTACTATCAGAGACTGTCCACTCCTACTTGATTAGACGATGACTTGATTAAAATAAATCCAAATAATTCCACCAACTCAGTAGGAACAAAAGCACCAGAAGAACAAGAACACCACTCTAGCAGCCAGGTCTTCTTCTACCATTACTGTTTTAAGATAACATGGATTTCATACGAAAATCAGCCGAACTCCTAACTTCAGACAGCTGTGAGTTACAGAACATAAAAAACACAGACCTGCTTTCTCTTCAAGTACTTCCAGGATTTAAAAATAATAATAAACTCCTTCATTTCAACATATCTGTCAATTAGTTGAATACAATCACATGTTCATTCTTTGAATATAATCACTTGCCTGCACCTGGATCCATATGAAGGCAGGTAGAGCTTAAGTGGTCAGTACTTGTAAAACAGTTTCTTTTTAGCAAGACATCCAGAAAATGCTGACCAGCTTTCCCATAAATGTGAGTTTAATACTTTATCGCACAAAGCAAAAATACAAAAACAGTAAGTCTTTGTGAAGATTTTTAGATGTCAAGAACTGCATGTTACACTCATAAAAAAATCTGTGTAATAAATAAAGAGTATCCTCACCCCTGCGTTAGGGAACTTTGTATTCCCTCAATTCTTTTTTGAGAGCAGCACATCCCCATGAACACCCCCATTTATTGATGCAAACACAGTTCCCATATAACCAATCTTAGTTCACTCTGTATCAGTGCTAGACAGGCAATGAGGAAGGAGTCAGAAAGCTCAGACGTTGCCATAAGGTCTTTCTTGTCTTAGAGTAAGTGGCTTACTATGATGCAGCACAAGTCACAGAACAAATTAGTTAGAGCACCCACCACTACAGCTTGGGCTTCTCTGGTCACTCCTAGGCTCTCTCTGCTTCCACGCTATATATTAGAAGAGCAGACTGGGTGGCATCATGTAGACAGTCAAAGAGAATTATCCTTCTTCCCAGAAAAATCCCTCTCTTTCCAGTATTAGCACAAATAATTGCCAGTTTGCATCCTACAAAAAGTCACCATCAGACACTACTGTGAGAAATCATGCAGTCATTCCTTTCAGTCTGAAATATCCTGAGAAGATGGGGCTGACTAGGAAGATAGGCAAGTAAAATTTGAAAACAGTGAAAAACTGTTGAAAAGGAGGTCAGGAGAAGGTTTTGCCAAGTGAAGCATTAGTCACGGATCCCAATCACATTGTGTAAAAGCTCGACCCATGCTCTCTTACAGTGAGCTGGATATAGTGCAACCAGAAACAAAGCCCCTCATGGGAACTGAGTCTTGGGAAGTTGGGGGATTGGCCAACCATGTTTACTTTGTTGCATTTCCAGATCACTAACACATTCCCTAATAGCTCTCATTTTCAGACTCACTGCACATAGTGATTCTGGCTTCCATACTTTCTCTCATCATTTACTGGCTCATCAGAGACCGTCGCAGAGTTAGAAACCTGAGTGGAAAGTATGTCTTCATAACAGGCTGTGACACCAGACTTGGAAATGCACTGGCCAAGTGTCTTGACAAAAGGGGATTCTGTGTCATTGCTGCATGTGCCACTGAACAAGAAGGCCAAGAACTACGGTCCTGCTCCTCACTCTCCCTGAAGACAGTGAATCTGAACTTGGCTGACTCCAGCAGCATCTCCAGGGCTGTAGTATTTGTGACAGAGGAAACGGCAGGCAAAGGTAAGTGGAAAGGTCAGCTCGCAAAAAAATAATTCAGTACAACCAAAGCTGGTCCAGCTAAGAGTTCTGGAGCCTCTCTGCTATCTACAATTAAGTTTTTCCTCTTACTGATGAAACACATTCCCTCTTCAGTTCTGCCACTTCTCAGCTCAGAAAGGTTTTCTCCAGCAATGCTTTTGGGCAATTTTGCCAGCAGAGTGCCTAGAAATACAGCTGTTCAAACCAGATCATTCCCTGATGTGTTTTTCAGACTTTTGGTGCAGTTGAAAAGTCTCAGCAGGGGGAGGGTGCTAACCAGTACCAGAATGAGCTTTCTTGTCAGTAAAGCCAGCCCAGGCAATTAAAAATGGCTGGTGCAGGACTCCTACTATAACCAGAAGAGTGTTTTTGCATGGCTGAACGAGTCTGATTTTTGTAATGCACTCAATAACAACTGTAATGACTGTAACATCTAAATTCTTGCCTTTTCAGCCAGTTTTCTTAGAGTTGTTACATAGGTAGCTCTTAATACACTCTGAGCACTTAATACCACTCATTCACCTCTAAGCACTTGTCTAGAACAAAGAAGAGTTTGTCCTTGGATACCTGTAAGTTGAATTAAAAAGGCATGGCTGAAGTGTTGTTTTTAGCACAGGGTGGTAAATATATTGACCTATGACAACATACATGTTTCTTTCTTGGTGCCAACCACTCAGACTGGGCATTGTTAATAGCAGCCAAATGGGATTAAGGCACTGCAACTACCAGCTGTACTACACAGTTGTATCAAAAACTCAGTAGGCTGATAAATTAATTTAGTATCTAGAACAGCAAAATACAGTATCTTCTACCTCGAGGGGACTTTCTTCCTTCATTATGCAAAGTTTCAGACCATCCTTGAATACAAAGAATGAGAGCAAAATCAAAATAATTATTAGAGCTTACCTTCTCAGAGAGGCTGATCCTGCACAGAACTCTGCCTCCAGGCTGTAGAAAGCAGCATGTTCCTGATCAGGGTAACCACTGCTGTCACCTTCTTCTGAGCAGCTCTTTACAGAAGCAGTGCTGAACCTTCGGCCTCTCCCTCCAGGCACAGGCTGTCCTTCCCGAAGTGTCACTATTTATCTAAAGCTCTTCAAGTAATTTATAAGGTAGTAAAGCAGTATAATCAATACACAGGGTAAAGCTAACATTTTTAAAAGCATTGACTAATTCTTTATGTTTAGTTTAGACCTTTAAACCCCAACTCAGGTAAATGAACCTTTCCGCTTTTACACAGTGCTTAGTTTTCACAAGAAGATAAGTGCACATTAGGAACCCACATACCTGAGTAAGTAATAAAGGACTCTATCGCATCCCATTTCTCCAACTGAAAATATTTTCCTGTCTTCTTTTAGAATAATTGCCTAGGATCTTCAGCACAGGTATACTGAGTAGACACCTACAAGCGGGCTCTAGACTTCATCCCACTGAAGCTTTTGCCAAGTGTGTTTGGATCCCAATGCTACACATGAAACCCTATGGTAAGATATAGTCACATACAGAAATAAATGATTTTGGAATCTTCCTAGGGCTATTTGGCTTGGTGAATGCTACTGAAGGAACAACATCTGCAGCACCCACTGACTGGCTGAGGATTGATGACTTCCACTCAGTTCTGAACGTTAGTCTACTGGGATTGATCGAAATCACACTCAAACTTCTACCGCTTCTGAAAAAAGCCGAGGGAAGAGTAGTCAATCTAATCAATGCTAAAGGCTTCATGGCATTCGTAGGGGGTGGCTACAACTTGTCCAATTGGGGCATTGAATCTTTCTCCGACATGTTAAGGTGAGTAGTTAGAAATACATGCATGAATCCAAGAACAGATTCCAGATGTGCTGAGGGAAGGATGCCTGTATGTTGCCTCTTCCATTTTGTCTCTGTTAATTTTACCTAAGGAGCAAATGGAAATGAAAAGGGTGACGGTCACCTGTTTTGGGTTTCAACCTCCAGTCCTATGACTTTCCAATCAGGAAACTGCACTGGGAAACATTTGCCTATGGCTGGCACGCAGCTACAGAACACATGAATCTGCTGCATACATACAAGGGAATCAACAGTACAGCCTAGCCAAGTCAGATGCTTCCTGGACACATTGTACTTAAGGTTCACATGCTGTTTGGTATATGCTAAATTACCAGACATAGGTACATGAAGCATGAGGACCTTAGACATGCTGCATTTGCCTCATAAGGATTACAAAAGTGTACATGCATGTACTACCAGCTGGAGCCTGTCTGAATTCCCTTTTGATAATACAGAAATTAATAACAAAATTATGTCTCATTCAATATTGTTAACCAGGAGGAAAGAAACTACCTATCTGAAGCATATAGATACACAGTGATTTCAAATGGTTTGTATTGACTGCAATACGTAGAAGCATGATAGCTTAAGCACAGCAGTACAATTATGTCAGTTACGGTTGTTTACATTTGGTAGATTGTGTCCCTGACAAACAGCAGTGCATAACTATAATACATTTAGTAGCATGCAATCAAGGTAATTATTAGCAGCCTGGTGTTGTGATTCTGATAAGCACATTCAGATCCCTGAACTCTTAATAAGCTGCTGAGGCCCTTCTGCAGGTTCTTCAGAAGCCACAATCAAAGCACAGGTGTGCTAGGTGTATTCCATCTGGCAAGGCCAGGTGCCTTGGAGAAGACATTTGACTTCACAGCAAGGGTCTGATTCTCAGACACTTAAGCCTTCAGTGTATATCCTTTTCTACTGGTTCTACCTCAAAGGCCCTGAGTTACCTTTTTAAGCTCTCAGAGATCAGTGATTGCTTTTTGTCCTTATTCCATTTCTGCAGACAGATTGTCCCTGTCAAATAGTTTCTGAAACCAGCACACCAGAAAAAGTCACTCTGGCATCAGTTTACAACTGTCTTTCTAGGGAGTTCATCCAAGTCTATAAACTAAAGTCACCTTGCATTTGGCCTACTAATGTCTTATCATAGCATTATTACATTCTCCACCCTAAAGTCTATTAATTCACTAAGTATGCTCATGCAGCAATTAGAGAAAATGACTTTTTGTGTCTCAACACATGCACTGCTAAAGGTATCTGTGCAGAGTTGGCATTTCAGTTCCCTTTCCCCTACTACTGGTTCAAGACCTTCAGTACCATTAAACTTAATGCTGGTATTTTTGCAGAACAGTGGTGAGCAGAAAGGCTTATCTTCACATGGGTTCAGTAACAGTACTCTTCCCTCTCACTGAACAAAGTTTTATCATTAATGCCCCTTACTCATCATTTGCCTATGCAATAACAGTAAAAAATATCTGTGTAAAACTTTTCCAGCAAGTAAAACACTCTGTATGTTCACAACAGAATTATGAAGGACTTATGCCAAACTATTAATCTTCTCTGTTACCAGTTTACAACCTATTTCATTTTGCACTAATGCTCCACAGCAGTCTGAGCTAGGTTTTACAAACAGCAATCAGATTATCAAAGGTACTCATAACTTCAGAAAATTAAAGTGAGCAGCCTACAGTGACACTAATTGTGATGTACTGCCTTGGAATCCAGCTGCCCGAGTCTCTGAAGCTATCTGACAGAATAGTGACGATTTTCATTCTGAGAGTTTGCTGCATTGCAACTCAAATTTCATAGAAGGAACCGCGCTATTAGAAAGCACTCTGACCTTTACTGCATTAACACTTAATTATTTAACCATAGCCATTTCACCAGAAGGTGCAAAATAAAATCCTAACCAACTGGAAATTTTTTCTCACTTTGACTTTTCACTAAACACCTTAATAATCTGTTTCTCCTAGAAGCTGATGTGCTTCAAGAGTAGTTTAAACAGATAGAGGTGGGTATCCCATTCTTTACACCAGTCCAAAACATATCACATAGAAAAGCTGCAAATCTACCTGATGTTGCTTTAATTGTTAGTTGTGTTCTGCACTTTTACAGTGATAGGTACAGCACTGTGATGCTAATGTGAACATCTCAAAATTATTCTAACATTTGAAGAGAAGAAAGCCTCAAATACTAATTAATGTGACAGACTTTCAACTGAAGTATGTTTAATGGCTATGCCATCATCAGGTGTTCAGAGACAGCTTTCTGGATTGTTTTTGTTTTGGTTGTTTTTTTCTTCTAGGAGAGATATTCAGCATTTTGGAGTGAAAGTAAGCATTATTGGGCATAGTTTCTTCAACGCAAAAGTTAATTCGGGTATCATGGAGAGAGATCTCTTAAGACTTTGGAACAGATTGCCTAATGAGATCAGAGATTCCTATGGAGAAAAATACTTTTCTGAATGTAAGTAGGAAAAGGAATGTATGAAGGCTCAGGGGAGGATATTGTTAATGATTCTAAATACCAGAAAGGGGGAGTACAGAGATAATGGAAGCTTGACTCTTCAGTGTTGCCCAGTGACAGGATAAGGCAGGACAAATTGGAATACAAGAGGTTCTGTCTGAACATCAGGAAATACTGAGTGCTGGAACAAGTCACCCTGATTGTTTGTGGAGTCTCCCTCCTTGGAGGTCTTCAAAAGCTGCCTGGACATGATTTTGGGCAACCTGCCCTAAGCAGTCCAGCTTGAGGAGGGCTTTGGACATGATAACTTCTGTAGATCCCTTCTGACCTCAACCACTCTATGATTCTGTGAATGTTTGCAGGATTTCATAAGCTTTAGTTAGGAGCTCATTGATGTTTGTCCTGTGTATGGTAGATGAGACCAGTTCTATTGGTTCCCCTGGGAAATCAGTGATGTGATGGTGTCCTACCATCCTTAGTTCCTATGTACTTAAGAGGTAGAATATCTAGGGGGCACAGGAGAGTTAGGGCTGTGATCATGCACTGTACTTACGGCTTAATGATAGCTGAAAAGTTCTGCTGCACATATAGTAGAAAAGAACTGGCTCAGAATATGGGCCAGGGAGGTTTCTGTTTACCTGGTTCTTTGGATTCTGCAGCGCTTGCTTGTCTCTGCTCTGCTGCAGCTATACCACTTGCAGTACTTGTGCCAGCAGTTTAAGACAACCCTTATTATAAATCTACAGAAGCTTTAGAAAAACCTGTAAATGAAAAGAATCCTCTCACACAGAATGTTGCATAAATACTTCCAGTTTGTTTTCTTCTTTGTAGATAGAAAAGCTCAAAGATCATCAGTGAAAAGACTGTGCAACTCTGATATTTCTAAGGTCATAAAATGCATGGAACATGCCCTGCTAGCAAAGTACCCCAGGACACGATATGGAGCTGGATGGGATGCAAAGTTCTTTTGGCTGTTCCTCTCCTATGCCCCGAGCTGTTTATCTGACGTGCTGTTTTACATGATGTTTCCAGTTCCAGCAGCTAGTGGGAGTTCAGTCCCTGGAGTTCTAATCAACATTTAGTACTATAACCAGCATCGACTCTATAGAAATAACTCTGAATTCTGTCATAAACAGTTGACATCTCCTCTTTACAAGTTACTAGAGTGCTTAAATTTCCTTCAGAAAACACTTTCTCCTACTTACCTGAAATTTCTGAGTTTGTAGATAAGACTCGTAAACCTACCATGCTTTTTTGTACTCAGAAGTGATACATCTATAATATCTGCATGCAAGCAATGGTCAGCTATAAATCTGGTTAATACTAGTCATCCAATAAAACATTTGTTGCTTTTCTTTTCTTATTTAAGTGAGAATCTGTTTTTCACAACTTCACCAACATATAGGTTTCTAGAGAATTTGAAAAGAAAAAAATAAAACCACTGGTTTTTCAGAACATCTATGTTATACGTGTACCTTGTGCTTATTCAGATTTAATAATCTATTTCATGAAGCTTGGTCATGGCCATATTCAGGAGTTGCTTCTGGACACAAGATATCAAATCAAATAATAACAAAGCCCAGCTATTGCAACAATTTCCAAAAGTTACAATTGCAGTATTTGACCATATCTAACCACCTGACTATTCAGCTGTGTAGAGACAAAACACAAGCTATTTTAAAGGTATGAAATTACAGGTAAAATCAATACTAAACAGTCCCCCCCCATTACTATTCAAATAGAGCAATATTTATATCTTAATACTTGCATTTTAATACCCGTTTCCAATACCTGCATCATTTATTAAGGAAAATATTAAAATTTGCATTCATTTTGCCCTCAATATGCTTTGCAACTTAAAAGGATTATTATTTCACTCACTAGATGAAACAGGTCACCAATATATGCTACAGCCAATTAATTTGAATGTACAAAGAGCGTGCTCAAAATGATGAAGTGGCAGCTGAAGTTGCTGTGCCTCTTGTACACTACTTCTATCAGTTAAGCTACTGACATGCTGGTGTTCCTGGAGATTTGAAAATTGGGAGGGTAAAGGTTTTATTTGCTAAAGACCTGCACTGGTGATTAATCATTAATGTGCAATTCAATTAAGCTTAGAAAAAAAACATGTGCAGGTCAGAGCACCAAATGTAAGAAAAGCAGTTTCATCACTGTGCAGTGTGTGTGTGCTGAGGGTGGGAGAGCATATGCAAGAAAGGAACAGAATGTAAAAATGGTTCAGGCGCTGTCTAAGTATTTCATTGAGGTTCCACTATCTAGCAAATGGTTTCAAGAAGAAATTTATTTTACTTCATACATAGAGTCATAGCTCTTTCTACCTGGTCTGACAGCTGTAGAAAAAACATACGATGAAAAAATTTAACATTTTAATTTATTGGGTCTATAGTGGCCAATTAGAGAGATGTGCTGAAATCTCTTATGAGCCTTCTTTCAGACAACAAAATTCCAAACTAAAGAATTCAGCCAGGGACTGGCCTCATGAGGGAAAAATAATAAAAGTGGAAAATGAAGTTAGGGAAAGAATCTAAAGATTCTGTTCAGCACAGTACCAAAACATACTAACATACTCAGAAGGTTATGTTGCAACACACTACTGAGATGAAGAGGCCGGTTAAAGCTTAGGAACCCTTTGCCATCAAGTATATTAAATAATCAAATTTGCATGCCACCTATCTAATACAGTCAGAATTATTTCTCATAGCTCTTCAGAGACGTGTATGTTGTGCTCCAAATTCTAATGGAATTTGCTACATTAAAGCAGTCAGATATAATATCATACTAACATTTTGATTGCTTATGTCTATACTACATTAATAACTGGTTGCTGCAATCAATTGTAAGATTTTCCTGTTTCAATGGCCAGTTTATTTAACATATACATGTGAGGGAGCAGTAATAAAATATTAGTGATTTTATATAAAAAACTTTAAACAGTTGTATAAAGTCATAACTTATTCTTACCTGAATTCACCTAAAGCAAGACTGTTTTCATCTCAGCATGCACTGAAGTCACCACAGTGGCAAAATACATACAGCATTGACAAAAAGTTATGGAGTAGGAATATGATAAAATAATACATTTATTAAATTTATTCAGCAGCATTATTTTCCAGTAGTCTTTTCTAATCAAAGTACATTACAAAATAATTAGAAGCATTCTAATTAGAAATAGTATACGTTTTGAGAACTTAGACATAAAACAATCAAATAGTAGAAGTCTCAATGATTTTAATTTAGGAATCTTTAAATTATATGAGTAACTAGATAGAAATGCTACATGTTCCTGTAGTGGTACTCAAAGTTTCCTCAAATTGTTCACACTGTGGAAACTACCTTGGCTAATTAATAGAAAAACTGGTAAGACATACAGTATATGCTGATAGAAGGTTATGAAAATAAGCAGATTAACGACAAAGACTGCATTAGTAGAAATTGTTTCCCTTTCTATTAATGTCCACCTCTGGAAATAAATAGTCAATAAAATTAAATTTTCACATTAAAAAACCTGAATTATTTCTTAAATGAAGCAGTATCTTTTGTATTTTGCTGTTTAGAAATAAGCTGTTACAGAAATCAAGCTACTTCATTTAATAGTACAAATAACTTCCAGAGACTCCAGCTAAGAACAGAGCTATTTCACTGATGTACAGGAGAGAATCTCATTGAGTTAAGTACTCATGACACTAAAATCTAAATATATCAAATCTTTTAAAGAACACTATTAATTGAGTGGTTTTAATTGGATCCTAGTGGAAAAGTATGTCTAATAGATTGTTTTATCCCAGGCAGTTAAAACATAAGAAAAACATTCTGCAGAGATAGCTATTCAGTATAATGATGCTGCATTGACTTTTCCATCTTTTGTTTAACGCAAGATAAACAGAGCCACTCATTTCTACATCCAGCAGAAGATAAAAATAGGTGGTAAGGATGCCAGAGCACCAGTAGAAGTTTTAAAAGGTACTGTTATAAATATACATGCAAAAGATCCTGTAAATCAGTAACGCTCCTATACTCACCTTGTTGGTATTTTTAGTTTAAGCCCCTATATAATGAAATTATCCCTATCTTTATGCAACCAATTCCATACAGATTTCTACTAGCAAAAAAACCAAGATAATCTTTGAAAAATTTACAAATTTACAATATATTTATAACATTACTTTCAGACAGGTTCAGTGCAAAGATATACATATAGTACACCATGATACTTGTTCATAAAAATAGTAATTGGCATTTGTCAAAAAACAAGGCATAGTTTCAACATACATCTCCAGCCACTGACTAAAAGATGTATATATTTTTATAAAGCATTTGAATGTGAACCTTACTCTTCTGTTTATAAAAAATATATGTGCAAATGGATGTGTCTCATTTTCCCTAAAACAGTTACCTACTTATACAACAGAGTCCTCCTTAACAAGATTGGCGGTGTCTTTAAAAGTATCCTCTGTTGCTGTATAAGCTAATGGCTGGTCTCTCTTCAGAGTAATCTTGGGAGGCAGTGAAGGAGAGGAAGAAGGGACATTTTCTGTGTCCTGTTGCTGTTCCTTTTCCATCTGAAACAATAATCATAAAATCCAAGTTTGCATTCTAATACACAAAACATTCAACCTTAACTTTCAGAAATATTAATTAAATATCCAAATATTTTACTAAGTGATATGTTAATTATGCAAATCACCACCTATCAAAAGTCAAATACTAATTTCTCCTTAGAAGGTTCTTCCGAGGAAATAACTTGCTTCAAACTTATTCTGCACACTGGGATTTCTGTTTTAATGGTCATTGTTAGTCTAATAATAGCAGTGGTTATGTTAGACTAATTTCACAAGTCTACATGTGCACACATGAACGTAGATTACACTGGCATCACTACTGTTTGTAAATCATTATGCTTATTACATTTGGGGAAATAAACCTCTGGTTTTCTGAATCTCTCACCTTGTTCAGGCATTAGAAACCTAAATTCTCCACAAAGGCAGCTAAGTTTCAGTCACATGACAGTGGGACTGAGGTTCTTATGGCACTTAGGCCCCTACTGAAATTCTTAACTATAAGATGAAAAACTGCTATTACTGGCTCAAGTCAGTAGAACTCAAAGGCTTCATAACACACCATGGGAGAATTCCTCCAGCACATATCAGGCAGCATAACATCTTAAAAGAAAGGTCTTCTCTTACTGCATGGATGGAAAAAAAACAGGACTTTCATGTAAGCAGGCTGCAGCACACAGACTACTGAATTTTTGTGCATGCTAAATGTAGGACTGAGAGGGCACTAGACACTTTCATACCAGTTGTAGAACAGCCTGCTTGACTCTGAGCTGTATGAGAATGCACCTGCAAGCAGAAACCAGCACATGGGATCCTGAAGCAGGAGTTCGTCACAGTGCTTAGGCTGGGAAAGCTGAGAGGTAAGCAATGCTGCTGTATAGCCTGAACTGAGTGTCTGCTGAGCACTTCATTCTGTGCAAAATTTGGTAATTTTTTCTCAAAACCATGTCAGATCCATCTTGACCTGGGCAGGAATTTATGTGCCAGTTCATTTAGCAGTAGAATTTGTCCATATCCTTTATCCACTAAAAGTAAAAACTCAGCCCAGCAGTGCATTAGCTGAAAAATAGCATAATACAATATTAAGCAATACCTCCGCGTATATTGGGTTTTCAAAATTAGTGTTTTGTTTCATTTTTCTCTTGAAGAAACTCCACTTTGATTCCTGAAATATACAAATTAATAGAGCTTTAGACATTTTTCTCACCATTTCTCAGCAAAATGCCAGCACAGCTGATGGATTTCACTGGGATTGACTGCTAACTTGGTAATTTCAGCTGGATGTTCTTACACTGCTATGTTGTAATTTTAATTAATTGCACTGCTTTAAATATTTTAATGCCTGCTCAAGTTTCAGTGTTTTCTGGACATCTTTAACATGACAAATCATAAACACAGGAGAAAAAGAGAATGATCTAGAACTCATCTTTTCCCTGCAGATGGGAGTGAGTCTTGTTTATCTTGTTTATCTGACTGCATCAGAGACTTGTCACAAAAACGTATCTGAAATGGTCATTTATATCACAATTCTATACTCAGCTTCTACTTTCTCACTAGACAACTGGCCTCAATATATTATCCAACAGACATTTCTAGCAAAGGAAAATAGATAAATTCAGTTTTTTTTATCATCAAATAATCAAAGTAAACTTTTTAGTCA